TTTAATGTAAACAAATCACCTTGACAAGTGTAACTACAAATGTTACTACATTACTTTAATGTAAACAAATCACCTTGACAAGTGTAACTACAAATGTTACTACATTACTTTAGTGTAAACAAATCACCTTGACAAGTGTAACTACAAATGTTACTACATTACTTTAGTGTAAACAAATCACCTTGACAAATATAACTAAGATAATAACCTCTCTGAATTAGTGTTTGGTACTAGAACTAACCTTCTCCGCGGTAACCATATCCAGTGACAGTGCAATGTTTCCCGGGTTGTCGAGTAACGCCCCTGGCGGGAAGACACACCAAACATGTGTCATTGTTTAGACCTGTCTCTTTCTCTAGTTTCAACAGAGCAATGTCGTTGTCTAATGTTTGGCTGTTGTAGTTGTGATGAATATAGGTTGTATACACCCGGTGAGTCTCAGCTCCTAGACTTCCAACTCGCCTACTTAGATCAAAGTCTCCAACTCTCACATAGAGATAGTCTCCAGTCTTCATCAAGCTAGAAAGTAATTTATCATTCTCAATATTTTAGCAAAGTTCCTCTCTGTTTCTCTAAAATACAACAAATATAGTATTTACCTCAACCCTTTTGTGAAATCTTACGTTATACCAGTGACCTCTCGGATTATCGTAAAAACTAAAATATGGTAAAAAGTTTGTTTGTTTGAATCTCGCGCAAAGCTACACGAGGACTATCTGCGCTACTCGTCCCTAATTTAGCAGTTTAAGACTAGAGGGAAGGCAGCTAGCACGAGGGCTATCTGCGCCAGCCGTCCCTAATTTAGCAGTGAAAGACTAGAGGGACGGGACTAGTCATCACCGCCAACTCTTGGGCTACTCTTTTAACAGCCAAAAGTACGATTGACTGTCACCTTATAATGTTCTCATGGTTGAAAGGATGAGTATATTCGATGACGGGATTCGAACTAGCGACCCGCAGATTGCGAGTCGAGTGCCCTAACAACCTGGCCATGAATTTGCTTATATAATCTACAGGAGTTTTTGACCATCACTTTATAATGTTTTATTTAAGTGACCTTTGTAGCTACCACAAAAGTTGAATAACTAAGACAATCAAGAGTTTTCATTAGATACAAGATTTCAAACAGAAACGTTACTAGTTCAATTAATCAGTTGTTGGGATTAAAGAAGAGTCACGGATACTTGATTGATACACAACTTTAATGTCACAAAAATTAAGAGCCTCTAAAAACAACCTATGTGGTATATGAATACACCACGTGTTTCTTTCTGGCTCATGGGTTTATAATGCTAAGAATCAGGTTTCTATGTATGAAGTTGGCAGAGCACAGATAGCCCATTGTGTAGCTTTGAACTTTACAACAAACAAACAAACCCGCGTTTTCTTTAGTAGATAATACTTGTATGTCTGAGGAAGGTGGAGTTGATGCAATACTGTACGTTATGCAAGAATGTCAACAGTAGTGTCTTTGAATGGTCGAACAGGTGATATCTGAAGCTTACGGTCTCGCCTAAGTTCGAATGACAATGATTAGCCACGTGCTATTCTCTTACAGTATGAGTTTCTTGCAATCTGAAGTAAGTCGTATTGAGTCAGTCTCTTACAGGATCGTGAAGGAAAAGTAGCTAAAATAGAGAATCTAATAAAAGCGACATCTATCGTTCCATAAAACAAATACACACACACTGTATTTATGTCATGTTTATTGTACTAAAGATTGTAAATTTCGTATTTCACTTAGTGTCCAATCTCATTATACCATTCAACGTCATGATTCGGTTATTAAGAGACTTAGCTTACATTGTAATTAGTATATTGAACGCATCTCCTGTTATGAAGCAGACCGAAAGTTACCTCAGTTTTAGGTAAATACTAGACCACCGTGACCCGTTGGGTCAACCACTATTCAGAGGTTATGAAGAA